AGAAATGCAAACAGAATAAGTGCAAAATTATGACTACCTAGTGGATGTAAGAACACATAACATATGTAAAAAAGTGAGATTCTCCTTCTCCACTTTTAATTTTTTTCTACTATAGTTTATATTTTGTAAGTTGCATGTAGATGACCAAATCAGCTTCTCCATAAATAATAACATGCTTATAGCTGGAAGTTTTAGTCCTAGGCAACATTGCTAGATTGTTGTTTTTTACTATTTGATTGTTATTCTTCTAGTGGGGTTAGTGTGGGAGGGTGACTGAGAGGGCTACTCAAAGAGACAGTGAGAGAGGGGTTATGGTGAGTGTTGTGGCTATCCATGGGAGGGAGGAGATTGACTTATGTGCATGAGATAGTTTTCTGTAAGAGAGAGAATAGAAAATGACCAAGAGTTATTAGGTTACTTTTGTTGTTTTATGTGATTTTTTTTCTAGGGGTGCAACTTAGGCGGCTTAACCCGAGTCCAACCCACAAAAACTAGGGATTGAGCTAGAGTTTTTAATACTTGGATTATGCTTGAGTCAAAAAAACCCAAACTTGAATTCAATTTGGGAGGGCCTTGGGTTGAGGTATCGAGTTTATGGGTTCAACCCGAACCCGAATTTTTAAAAAAAAATTATATATGTATATATAAAGCATTAACACTAGTTTTTCATTTTGCTCCCTCGTTCTCTCTGCCTCTCTCATTCTCAGTCCCTCTCCATCTCTTTGCCTCTCTCATTCTCAGTCCCTCTCCATCTCTCTGCCTTTCTCTTACTCTCTCTCGGCCTCCCTCTCACTCACTCTATGTACCAAAGACCACAACGATTCTGAAATCTAGTAATTTGGTGGTCAGATCTAGTAGCTTTGCATCTCAGATCTGGTGGAGATCTGGTGGCTATAGCGCTGAAGACCACAACAATGGTCAGATCTAGTGGCCGTGTGGGAAAAGTCTGTGGTGTGGTGGTTATGTGGGCAACGACATGGTGGTTGTGATGGCGATGGGCAGTGGTTGTGGTGGTAGTGATAATGGCTATGGGCAGTAGTTGTGGTGACAATGGTAGTGGCTATGTGTAGTGGTTGTGGTGGCAATGGGGAGACTATGGTATTTTGAATTTTTTGGTTTAATTTCTTTGTAACCTGAATTTAAATCCGAATTAAAAACCTGAACGCACTCGAATTCAACTTGAGAAGTATTCGGATTGAGTACCTCAGGTTAAAGTCGTGTTCAAGCTCGGGCTCGGGTTAAAGATTCTATATATAGGATTGGACTAAAATTGACCTTTCAGCCCGCCTGAGGTGCACCCTATTTTTTTCCCACCCATTCTCACACAAGACATGGATGAAAAGCTAAATGGTGTATTTTAGTCCAAAAACGACCAGAGTTATGTGTTATTTTCAAAACTCAGAAAGTTGATGTGTAACCCCGTAAACCACATGTAGGTAAAATGAAATAACTATTTAGTTTTACTCCACACATCAAAAAACTCAAAAAGACGTGTTTGCCCCTCAAAAACATACACGATTCATTATTAATACGTACTATCAACATTTAATAATAAACATACAAATAGGTAAGGTGAACTCTACTGAGATAGTTATTAAATGATATGACATGGTGATTATTATAATATATGAGATCCAACTGTTTATTTATTATGTTTTTACTAAATAGTAACATCACCTGACAATAATGACATAGTATCATCATTATACCTAATATTTTTTCTTAATTCACACCTATCTTTATTCTTTTTGTCCGTGATTGTCCTTTATTTTCTCTATTAACTTAATTTAAAATTGAAAAATTAAAAAAATATTATTTTAAAATATAAATATTATGTTATTAATATTTAGAGCATATCTAATCCTTATCCCTTTTTTAAACACAAATTTAAATTTAGATTAAAAAAAAAACTCTTATACCCATATTAAATAAATGAAGACTCATTTTTTTACTCAAATAAAGAAAACTCAAATCCATACTCAAATCTTTAATAGTGAGATTTCATTATCCTCTAAAGATCTAATTATCATATTTTACTGTCTTTTGAATTTAAGTTTGTCCTCATTTAAATTTGAGTTTTTCTATTAGAGAGGTATATATCAAATCAAATCTTTTTCCCTATTTTTTTACTCAAATGTGTATAAGAATTTGGGTTTTTATTAGAGATGATCTTATTTTTAATATACTAGCAATGCACTATGTGCGATGCATGTGAATAATATTTTTAAAAAAATTAATAAATAAATATTTGATATATGTGTACTTGAATTAAATATTATTTCAAATTTATCAAACTTTATTTTTTTATCGCTCATGCTCCACTATAGAATTTTTAAAAACTTTGCATATTTTCATGATTTGTTTTTCTAACTATAAGAAAAATGATAAAAAGAAAAAAATGAAATAATTAAAGTTCTTTTTTTTTTTCTATAATTTTGTAATTGAAAGTGATATTTTAGCGATGTTTGAAAATTAAATATTTTAAAATTAATTTGATTAAGATTCCACTTATAAATTATTGAATAAAATAAAAATAATTATCAATATACCAATCATATTGAAATTTTACTGTATTTAGGATTAGTTAGGTTAATTGGGATAAATTTAATATACAACGCTATAATATATATTATAAAACATATTAAAATTTTAAAAAAATTTAAGTTTTCACATAAATATTAACACAATTTAAAAAATTTATTGTGACCAAAAAATCATGTAAAACTATATATACATTATTTTTTATCTTTAAAATTTAATAGTTAAACATTTTGGTAAAAAGCAAAATATACATATATAGTCATAATATTATCTTTATAAATAAATAGAATAATATTATATTCGTAATATTTTTGAAAGTTTTTTTGAATATTGTGTTAAAATTTATAATAATGCATATAATTTTTAAGAATAGTATAATTAAACAAAAAATTTCATAAAAATTGATAGTTATAAACAGAGAATAGATAGTTAAAAAATTAATTTGATTAAGATTCTACTTATACATCATTAAATAAAATAAAAATAATTATCAGTATACCAATTATATTGGAACCTTACTATATTTAGGATTCTCTATGTCAATTGGGATAAAATTTAATATACAATACTATAATATATATTATTAAACATAATAAATTTTTAAAAAAAATTCAAGTTTTCACATAAAATTTTAACATAATCTAAAAAGTTTATTATGACTAAAAAAATCAGGTAAAACTATATATACATTATTTTTTATCTTAAAAATGAAATGATTAAATATTTTGATGAAAAATAAAATATACATATGTAGTCATAATATTATCTTTATAAGTGAGGTGAGTAATATTATCTTGATGAAATTTTTGAAATTTTTTTTGAATATTGTGTTAAAAATTTATAATGATGCATATATTTTTTAATGGTAACATAATCAATCAAAAAATTTCATAAAAATTGACATTTACACATGGGGAATATAAAATTAAAAATGATCTTAGATGTAATTTGGAGATTTAAATAATTAAATACATAAGGATATAACGATAATTTTGATATTAAGTGTTAAAGGAAAAAATGACCTTTTTTAATTTTTTTATGAGGATAAAATAGTAAATAAAATTTTTTTATGTTAAAACATTTTTATTAGTAGTATAAATGTATATTTATTGGTCATGACTTATTATTATTATTATTGTGGAGTGTTTTTGGATATAGAATTATTGCTAATTATCTGATAAATCATTTAATAAAAGTATTTTCCATTCTTTTGAAAGCTTCCATGATCACTTCCCCCAACCAAACTTGAATCTTTAGATTGATTTGGCCGCCCTCACGCTCAATTACTTCAATGGCTTCAACGTTCAAATTAATCCATTAGATCATTCCCTCTGTCCTCCAACGCCTCCAAAACCCTACTAAGACAATAATGTCGATGTTGGAGTGTTTGGGTGCTGAAATTAAAGGTTTTGATGGTGAAATGTTGGTTAACACTGATGGGGTTCGATCCGTTGAGCTGGAATCGGAAGAAATTGGAAGATTAGAGCTAGTTTTTTTTTTCCCCCTGAATGGGCCGCTGATGGCTAGGGTTTGAAGAGGCAGTGGTGGCAATGCCTGGTGGATGTGATATTGGAGCTCGTCCAATTGACCTGCACATTCTAGGGCTTCGTGCACTCGGTGCCACTGTTGAATTGAGGTCAGTTTACCTGTATGTTATGGTATTTCCATGTGTTAACCAAGGGTTAATGCAGTGACGAGTTCTGAACTTAAACGTACTGACTTTGAAATTTGACATTTTTTTGCCCGGTGATAACGGATTTGTCCCAAATTGAATTTCCTAGATCCAATGTGGATAGTGTCTATCTTTTATTAGACTGGGAAAAAGATTAATTAGGTGCGAGGTAGGTAACTCGGCCATCCCTGATTGTAATATCAAAGTAAATATAGTATCTCCATTTGTTGTGTTGTACTTTTGTTTCACCATCTTTGATATTATTCCATGGATTATCATAGGTTGTGAAAGTTTTGCTGCTTGTAACGAGCAACAAAAGTCCTACTACTATGACGTTTTATGAGCAATTATTGTCAAGTCAAATGCTTTGGCATTAATACTTTCCAAATGATGTCAGAGAAGACTGAATTTAGCTTTTTTGCAAACATTTAAGGGATGGGAAAGTGCACCCATGAGCTGCAAATGGCAAAGGATTGAATCTAGAGTTCAGATCTGTTGGAGCACTGTACTAGTTTTTGGGAAAGAGAATGGGAGGTTTGTTTCTTTTTTATACATGACATCTTGATATATGTTTCGTGTACTTGGATGCCTTTGAATATTGTATTTGATGGTTACTTTTATCTAATTCTGGTCCCTTGTATGGTTTCCGAGTTTCTACAATTGATTTAGGAGGTGGAATACCGCTGATTTGGGGGGATTGGCTGCAAATGAATTACTGAAATCAGTGGCATCCTTCGTATTGATCATGGTTAAGAGAATCTGGAAATGAAGCTTCAGCTACTTGGAGTTGATGTAAAACGACCGAGTCCTATTTTTCGTAAATGATAGGAAAACCAGCACGTGGTCTTAGATGATACATCTACTAAAAAAAAAAATAGATGATACATCTACTAGGATAGTTTGACGTTGACGCAAAGTTATATGAATCTTCATTCATGGCCATGTCATTTATTCCTCATTTCTTTTTTAAATCACCTTTAGAACAACTCAAACAGAAGTTTACCCCCAAATTCTCCTCCTCACCTTCACCTTATATCCTCGGTTTATAAACGCTGTCTTCGAGCTCTTTAGAATAAGTCAAGTCATGTTCTTGGCATGCAGAGTCTTCTCGTTTTCATTCTCTTCTTCATTATGTGCTTTTGAATTCTTCTCAGTTTTTATCTCTTCTTTTTCTTTCATTTTGTTGTGAAGGAATTTAACTAGGCCTTGCAGGGAAACTTCAGCATTACTGGTCTTCATCAGCTCCCCTGCAACTTCTGCTGGGGTGACCTCAACCTTGCCCAAGAGCTCTTCAATCTGCTTAAGGAGATTGTGATTATAAAGCCCCAGATAATTTAAGGCTAGTTGCTTGAATGCTGAGAAGGTGCAGTAGGTCATATGGATGTGCATATCCATACGACCGGGTCTCAATAGTGCAGGATCTAGTCGATCTTTGTGATTCGTTGTGAAAATAATGATGCGTTCGGAACCACAGCATGACCAGAGGCCATCAATGAAATTAAGGAGCCCAGAAAGTGTCACCTGGTGAAATGAAGATAACAAGCAATGAGACATCGAAGGTATGGGCCATAATAAAACTAAACACAAAGCAGCCATTGGAAATTGGATATGCATTGTAAGATTCTGCATTAGAAATGTTAAGATGCTGGCTGTTTTTCATTTCAAAGATTCTGCCTTTTCATTGGAAAAAGACTGCATATAATCCCATTCATTTTGACGGGACCTTACGTGGAGCTTCTTGAATTGTATCATGCCTTTACCCCTACCTTAAAGATGTGCATATCAACGGTTTTTTAGGTTTTTTTGTTTTTTAAAGAAAAAGAGGGGGGGGGAGGATATAACATAGTTAGTAGTCAGGCTTGCATTGTTAATTTTTAATAGGAACGCTTACCTTATTTTTGGGGTTGTGTGCTTCATATTCATCTTCAGATTCTCGATTTTGCAGCTTGATAGAGCAGTCGATATCCTCAATGACAAGTATGGATCTGCTAGACATGCCAAGCAACAAGCTCCTTAGATCTGAGTTACGCATGACATCTGTTAGATCCAAGTCATAGATGTTGTAGTTAAGGTAATTAGCCATAGCTGCAATCAAGCTTGACTTGCCCGTTCCAGGAGGACCATACAACAAGTATCCACGTTTCCAAGCCTTTCCAATTCTTCTGTAAAACTCTTTCCCATTGATATAATTATTCAAATCTTCCATTAATGCCTTCTTTATCTCTGAATCCATTGTCAGGGTCTTGAAAGTCATGGGGTGGTCTATTTTGATTGTTTTGGCATCCCAGTATTGGTGTCTCACTGTATAAAGCTTTATCACCTTGCCTTCTTCTTGAATGATCTTACCTTTCTCCAAAATGTATGGCAGGTATGAATTTATTACCTTTTCTTTGTATTTCTTGCCAAAACTTAACTCATAGAATCTGATTTCTGTTCGGAGAGTTGTATTTAGGCCGCCCCTCATTTGCCTTCCATAGGCTGCTCCTGCTGTTTCATAACCACCCTTCGACTCTATACAAACCAACCTCCATTGGATATTGACATCTTCAAAAACATCCACAACCTCCACATTTGTATCCACAGTGATTGCTAGATTCTTCTCATTCTCAGTCTTCCCCAGTTTAACCCTTTGAGTGGACGGGGTGGTTATAGTGCCCAAGTACATATCTGCGGCCTCAAACAGTTCGTTTTTTATGTGCCCTCGGTATTCATCTATAACAATGGTGAATTGAGAAGAAAGGCGATTGCGAAAACTACGAATGGTGGAAATGTAGTATTGTTGGAATTCAGCGGGGAGGAATTCATTGGCAATGCTTCGGATAAGCATTGCTGATGCAGCAACAGAGGCGGCCGCAGATAATATGGTCTTTGTACCAGGCAGTTTTCCAGTTGCCATTTTTCTCAGGTCTCAAGAAAAATGGAGCTGAAGGTTGAAATATATGAACAAACAGAACTGAGTGGTTGAAGAAGGGTTCTGTTTATGTATCTGTATACTGCTGGGATTGCTAGTTTTTCTTGGTTTTTTCAGTGTATTGACAGTGTAATTTATAGTCCAAGCCTGCAAAGGTTTTTCCAAGAATTTGTGTTCCCCAGTTGAGAAGCCATTGACTTGACCGTATCCAACCCTTAAAAATAAATGAATTTTCAAGTTTTGAAGCAGAAACTTCCCAATTTTTTATTTTTTCTGTAAAACAAAAAGGGTTTCCCAAGCAGGCCTCAATTGACATTGGAAGCCAAGATGGGCTTCCACACAAAAACCATAAAAGTAAGAATCATTGATTTTTTTGTTTTTGGCAGAATAAAAAAATAGAATGATAACAAAAATATAGATGTATATTTTATCATTATATATATGTATAACTTTAATGTATGCATAATATATAATAAATAATTATCATATATGCATATATTAAAAGATATATAAGTAAATAACATACATTTGTGTTCAAAAAAAAATAACATATATTTTAATCCACATAATTAATTTTTCATCCATTTTTTTTTCTCCTAATTTTAGAATGATTGATTTTGGTGAGTTAGAAGAAAAATATTTTTCCATCTTTCTTATTTTTTTCTTTATCAAACATGATGATTTATCTATTTTTTTAATTTTTCGTCTTTTCATTTTCCATCGTACCAAACAAATGATTATATTTTAAGTCAGATGTGAACCATATAAAGTGTTCATATTTTTAAGTGAAATGTTATGGGTTCGAATACGAGAATTAGTAACTCTAAAATTGAGGTAAGATTGTCCGTTTGTCAAATGTAAGGGAGGATCTTTTTCGGCCTATGATCTACCTACCAAAGAAAAGTGTTCATCTTTTATCTCTTTCACTAGAAAAATAAACAATATGAATTGGGTAAACTTTTCTTTGGTAGGTAGACAGGTAATTTCTTCGACTTTTCAAGGTTTGAAATTTCTGAGCAAGCCGTTCTCCACAAGGTCCGGAGTTTCTAAGCAAGCCTTTCTCGTCAAGCTTGGCAGCCAAGGAAAATACACAGAACCTAGTTTTACTCGGTTTCTGAGAAACTCTTTTCCTCCTTGAACTTGCGGGTAAATTACGTGTAACACTGCTATGCTGCTTTTCGTCTAAACGGACGTGACATAGTTTTTATCATCAAATAAATAAGTTTTATTAATATTCGTGGATGGAGATAGTACCACGTTATTTAGAATGAAAAATTTAATAAAAAAATTAATAAGTATAACATTACTCAATTATGTAAGATCGGGTTTCATCTAACCATGTCATTTTAAAATTTGTTCAACTAATATCCAACTCATTTATAATTATGTTGTATTGAATTCATGCTATGAATAAGTCGTGTCTAATTCGTACTTGTTGGACATTGTCAAATGTGTAACTGTTTATGATGATGCACAAAAATGTGTTTCTGTATCACTTGTTAAGTATTTAATATAGTAATTTAGAAAGAAATTCAACACAAGCAAATACAAATTAACTAGTTCAATCAGTGTGATATATTCCACTATAAAAAGCTATGGTAGTCTGAGTATTTTATAGCTTAAAGAGTGTAGAGTGTTTAGATGTGAGTGATGCCGAGTGTCAATCGTGTCGTGTTACTTTCGTTCGTGTTATTTTCATGTCGTGTTATTTTTAGTACGTGTTGAGTTCGTATCAATATTCGTCTTAATAAAAAATTATTTAATTCAATAATAACTCATATAATACTATTTAAAAAATTATAAAATTCTTATTTTTTATTTACAATACTTGTTAAATAATTATTTTCTATTTACAGTACTCATTAATCATGGTATTCGTGTTGAATCTTAATTTGACCAATTTGCTACTCTTGTTCACTTATTTTTGAATTTTGTGTCGTGTTCATGTTAACAGATAAAATTGACACCCTCACTTTTGTATGTGAGACTTACAATTTATAAGTATCTTCTAACGGATTGAAATATAATTTTCGTAATATGTAAAATAGTTTGGTAAAGATGACACAATTCTCATAGTAGGTAATACAATTACGTGGAGGTGGCGACGTGCACCTGATGATCACGGCCCACAGATCTCATTTTGTCTCAACTGTAGCATGAGTCTCTCAAAGGTGATGAGGCTAACCGACTAAGCTTCCTTAATCTTGTGAGCTTCCTTGACTATGTGGTAGACTTGACATGTACATTTAAAATCAGTCTTGTTTGCAATTCTAAACTGGAATCTGAGCAATACATAGTCTGTAATTTTAGACCTGATATGAACCCATCAATTTATATCCAAAAACACTACAATTGTCACGCTAAGCGACCTCATGAAAGCCGTGAAGACAACAGACTCACCAGTCAGGCACACACACAGTGAGGCTAACTACAGCAAATTAAGATATTATAATTCCTGTTTCAATTTCGTGTGTGAATATAGGAAGTGCAGAGGGTGAATCGAGGGTGAACATTCAACAAGACCAGACATACAATACAGCCATTGTCCTTGTGTCAAACTGGAAACATTAATAGTGGGTGATAAATCAAGAGCCCCCAATGTTTTATAGCTTCACAGACAATTGTGATTATTTCGTTCTAGCCAATCTAATTATGCTTACAAGCTTGAGTATGATCATACGTATATTCTGCTGGAAAATGAGCACATTCATTTAGGAGTAATCTGCTTTTGTAAGGAATTTTTTATCAACAATGTTATTCATCAAAAGAGATCAGTACTTTTAATTTCATTATGTCAATCCAACATAAAACTTCCTGGATTTTAATTGCTAACTCTTGTGAACCTCATTGCATGGAGTAGCGAATGAACCTGGAACCCCTGGACAAGACAGAATAATCCCTATATCTAATCAGCAAATCCAGTCGATGTAAAGTTAGTGATGTTAAGACAGATCTATTCATATGCTTAAACATCTCAGGTTGGAGAACACTAGAACCGATGGAAGATAGTGCTCGTGGGCTCATACATCGACTATCACTTGGGTATTCTTTTAAGAAGTCTGTACATGCCAAAAACATTGTTTTGCTGCCAAAGATATGGGATGAAGAATGACCGATACAAGGGAGGTGAAAGTTCCCTGTCCAGATATGGTAATGCTGCAACAACCTGATATAACAAAACCTTGAATGTAAGACAGAGTAGTGGTAGGAGGAGGAAGGAAAAGAGGGGGGGGGGGGGGGGGATTTACCTCCCATGTTGACAAGTCACTTCCTCGAGTAGGGGAAGGTCGCTGAAGTCGCAATTCAACGAGGAAACTGCAGCTTTCAAGATCCATGAGCTGAAAAATAGATTACCAAAAGGACGGCGATGAGTCACATACTTTGAGCAAACTTCTCATGATAAAACTGTCCTCATCGTAGGAAGACACCATAATGAAAGGGTTAACTAAACAAACTGGAGAATATGGAAGCATGTCATTACATATTGCTCTTCTGATGCTTTGTTCTTATTGTTGAAGTGAGGTGGTGCTGCTGAAGTCCCGCCCAACGTAGAATTAAATGGAAATGGTAGCAGACCCCTGAACCCATCATCTATCCATCGAACTTGACCCACATAATCAGGAATGAAAAAGGATGATGGAAAGCGGTGCCACTCACTTCCAACACAAACTGTAGAACCTGCTTTACACAAGACCAACAAGGAAGTTAAAAACTACAATAACAATCAACACTGTGTGTGTGTGTGTGTGTGTGAGAGAGAGAGAGAGATTTGGGGAAAACTCCGGATCAATATAGCCACTAGCCACCGCCGAATTAACTGTTCTTGACATCAAATATGTAGTAGATAGTAGGTTTTATTTCCAAGCCTTTTGTGATATGCATTCTCTGTTGAACCCGAATCTCTACTTATTAACCAAATTAAACAAAGAAACGACTTTGAGAAGCTTCTTGATCAATCTTCATCCATATGCTATTTCCCTTTCTTAGCAAGAGACTAAGAGAGCCACGTTTATGAAAGAAGCCATTACCCACTTATTGGGGTGTTGAATAGGGTGAAATTCGTAAAAACCAACTTTTGCCTCCACTTGCATGAGAGTTTGCGGGACTTAACTACATGTTCAAACACACAACTTTGCAGCCGTCTTTGATGGTTCAAAACTAAAGAAGACAATAACCTCCCAAAAGATACATTATATCTTCAGTTATAAATAAACTACGAGTGCAACTGATAGAAATGAAGTTTAGCCTTTGTCCGGCAGGCTAATAATTTCCACAAAAATTCCCTAGAGGACAAAGGAAAACCACTTCCCTCAACAGTTCAGATACAAGCATTTCCTGCTCTGAAGTCGAAATAAGACTCGCACTGTTCTTATACCATTTCGACTATGTATCTTTTCCAAACACTCAGCAAAGATCTAATAAACAAGCCACCGATGACTTGAAACTCGGTACTACTACACATGATTTGAGCCAATAAAACATGAAAAACTGGTTCTCACCCATTCCTACATCATCGTGGTACTCAAAATGCTTGTAAATCTCCAAAGGAGCAGAATAACCATGAATCAAGGAAAATGTCCGGGAATGAGAGGCACATAAAATTAGGCCAAGAACCATGGGCCTGAGAGCTTTAGCTATCTGCATCAGCAGGATAAAAAGAGAGGTAAACTGTAACTACAAAACTCGCAGAGATCGCAAGAGATTGATTATGGGAATGTAGAAGCAACTCACAAAAATAAGCCAAGCATTATGATCGGGATAGTACTTATCCCGGAAAAGATCTGGAAAGCTCTCAATAACAGCTGAAGCAGCTACACAAACAAGTGGATATATTGGATAGAGAAATCTGCAAACAGAATGAGTGCAAAATTATGAGCCATCAGTTCATCCTGTATCTGAAAACTATGAAGCAATTCGAGATAGAATGAATTGAGCAATCTAGTTCTACTATAGGTTATCAATCTTCAGAATCTAGGAAGCCTTACCAAGAGGTTGGGAATCCAAAAGGGCTTAATGGATGTAGAGGCATATGGATGTAAGACTCTAGTATTGGATATTGGTGTTTGCAACCCTATACAATGATCAGGCTTGTGTTTAACTGCATTATGAGCAATCTATTTGTAGCTTTTTCCTCATTTAAAACACCCGTCCACTCACTGCAATATATATCCCAATTTCCTCTACACACAATCAATTTTCCATCAAGTTATCAACCTAACAAATACAGACTATATTATTCGATATGCCTTGGAAGCCACACTAAGAAGTGCCAATTATGGGGGTTCAGTAGATGCAAAAGCAATTAGACATGAAATTTCAACATTTGGTTCTGCAATGACTATTACAATGTCCCACTATATCCAGCAGTAGGGCAATAGCTGCTTAGTTGTATTTCTAAGGTTCCGGTTCTTCACCCTAAATGTGCTACAAAACCTGCAACTTGACTGGCACCTGAAAAACAATTCACCTAAGATCCCCCTCCAACTTCCTCCACCCTCAACAACCAAAAATAAAAATGAACACACTATTTTTCCAACGTCTGCCATGCCATCACAAGATTTATAACCTTTGTATGAAAGCAACGTACTGAAAGACCACAAAACTGGTACGACTACTATTATTCCAATTCATTGGCAAAAACTTAGATTATAGGCAAGCATCATGCATGTATACTAATCAAGCTTCATTTTGATGTTCTCCTGCTTACAAGTTACAAGTGGTGTGAAGAATAAGCCACCTCGTATACTTTTCCAAGCAACAGCAATCATCTTCCCTACTTGAAGATCGACCTTTTCCGGAACATATGTTATACAAACAAAGATAGAACCAGTTCTAAGCGAATTACCTCGACAAGTCAGATGATTTTATACTTCTAATTATCTGAATTTTAAATTTAAAGCAAGTGAATTTTTAGTGCACGCACATGCACATTCCTACATGAAATTTGGCTTGAATTGACCCAAAATGTAGCCCTATACACTGGAAGAAGAAGAAGAAGCCAAAAATCCACACAGACTATGAAATTTGACTAATTCATGTATCATAATACCACAAAAAGAATCAAAAGTTGAACTGCTATTTGCTAATTCATAAATATATAGCTTTCATCCATTGTAATATCGTGACCCAAACTCAGAACTTGTCAAAAAAAATTGGAAAGCATTTACCTCTATTTTCAAATTGCCATACACTACTCCTCAAGAAAATAGAAAGAGCCCAGAAATCTAACCTTTCCTCCTTGTGTGGCTGCAAAGACATAAAGGCTAGCCAAATATAGATAGGTGAAATGACAACCAACAAGTCTGGAGCGTACTTCTTTCTTGCAATTGGCAGAATAGCAAGGAACAATAAAGCAAGTACAAAACAGAAGTTGAAATTATTAAATCCATTCCTCAGGTAATATAATGGACCTTCAGTGCCATACAAATGGCTCTCACCACCCCCTAAGACATTATAATACAGCAGGTTCAAAACAGATGATGTCCATCTTTTGTAGTAGTAATAGTCAACAACTAGCGAGAGTGCCTGCAGTAATTTCAAAACCTTTACACTAAAATATGCGACGGCAGAACCAATTTAAAACTGAGTATAACCAGATAATGAAAAAGTATGGACTGGAATGTATCCACCTAGTAATAAATTTTATCTATAATTAAACTTGACTTACCATCAAAGCTAGAGAAGTGACTGCCCCTGAGAGAAAAGCTTGTTTGAACCTCCCTCTCAAACAGTAAATTGTAATTGGAAGAAAAGCCAAGATTGAGAATGGCCAGCCAAGAATAACTCCAGTGGCTGCAACAGAAATTGCCATGGCAGGCTTCCCAAAAAGAAATAATGCTGACGAGAGAGACATAGCATACATAGAGAATGAACTTGGCAAGAAACCTTCAAATAAAGTCAAGTCAAAGAGTAAGATTCTGAGGAAATGGATACCAACCATTTTCCAGAAAAAATAAAACTTGCAGGAAAAGGAAAAGAGGGGGGGGGGGGGGGGATGAAGCATTGTTGTTAAATTATTATTTGGCTCCAAGGAAGAGAGCTTACATATAAAGCATATAAAAGAACAACAAAAGAAACAAGATAGAAGTTGAAAGGGAAGCCTACTTACTTGTGCTAGCAAAAAAACAACCACTGGTTAAGCATAGCATGGCCAGTGTATAGGAAGCAATACGTTTTCCATACTTCCTTGAAAGGGCAACTACCAGAGCAGCCTCTGTGGTGACAGAGAGGAGACCAAGAAAGATTCTCACAGCATAAAATACTCTCACCTAGTGTATCAAAATTCATTGTAAAACTATAACAAGTTTAAAAAAACGAGCAACATTAAGTACCATTAGAGGAACGATATTTGAAAAACCATAAACAATGTCTCACTTTTTCCTCACCAAACCACCAGGAAGCCGGCCAACCCACCAAATTGTGGAAAAGAATGTACAAATAAGAGCGCAATGCAAACTGTGAGCTGTAGAGAACACAGGAAAAAAAATTGATCAATAATGTCCTCCAAAGGATTTCACGCAATAAAAAAAAAATATACCAAGCAGCCTAAATCCATAAATTACTTCTACACAGATCATTTTTTCTCACAAATAGAGAAGTAAAAATTAAAGGTAAAAAATTTAAAGTATTGTTTACATATGGATAATCTTTTAGATAATCTCTCAGTGGTCAATGGATAAAAATCATATGGCATGCATGATGTGCCTACTATTGTCAGCATCAATAAAAGACCATGCACAAAATGTACATAACATACACAACTAGCCTCAATATTATCAAGATACACACAAACAGGCATCGAGCGTGCTTTGACCTTTTAGCATTTATGGAAACATTTCCAACAAAGGAAGGATATTTACTGGGCTAAATTTCATCTTCAGAAATTGATGAGAATATTAGGATTCTTGGAATCTACACACTTCACAATCTATTCCGTTGAACACTGCGCAATTCCATTAGTCTTGCATCTGCTTCTTGCAAGCTAAGGACAACTACCAAGTAAGAATCGGCATGTATTCCAACACACAGACACACACGCGAGAGAGAGAGAGAGAGAGAGAGAGAGAGAGAGATTGGACCTGTACTCCCAAGTTTGGAACCCAGATTTGTAGAGCAGGTAGTGCAGAGGCTCCCAGTAATTGAATACCTCGTCGCAATCATGTATGATGTTCGATGTGGCGCTCATGTACCTCAACATTCCTAGGGCAAACAATGGTAACATCCATCCAAATCCCTTGTCCGTCACTTCTTTGCCGTCCGATTTCTCCGGCTTATCTAGCTTAGTGTACGACCTCGACGACGACGACGACGACGTCGTTGACATATCGTACGGCATCGGCCGCCTCTGCCGAGTCGTTAGATCCATTTCGCTGCTCTCTCTCTCTCTCTCTCTCGCTTTCCGTTGTATTTGTATTCGTCACTTTTGCTTTTGCAGAGTGTTCAGAGCAGAGGTTTAAGACCGGGCCGGTCCGGTCCGGGGCTGGATATGTTGCTTCCTTTTGAAGAAAGGCACCAAGGGACACAAATGGGCTACCATCAGGGAAAGTTGGGCTTTTCTTGGGAAAATGAAGTTGGGTATTTTAGGACAAGTAGAAATGTTGGGTTTGTTCCTGGTACTAATGCTAATCAAGCCCAATCTCTGCTCTTATTTTTCAACTCAAGCAACAGTCTCATATTATTTGGATCTTATGACTTTTATTTTAATTACTCATACTCGAAGATACGATATATTATCAAAAATGAGCGTCTAAAAAATTAATTTTACTATATTAAATAATAATTTATTTTTCTTCCCTTTTTTTGATTACATAATTTAAAATTACTTTCTAACCATTATTTTTCTAAAAAAAGTGAATTTTTTAAAAAAAAAACATATGACCTTAAAAATATATTAATGTGTACTCTACCCATTATAATCTGCATTGAGCCACAAATTAATTAAAAATTAAATGATTCAATTTATGATAGAAATTGGTGATATGATAGAAATGAACGGAAAAAATTCAAAGTGTTATCTAGCTTATTAGATAAATATTTTAACCACAATAATTACAAGTTAATTTTTTGTGAGTTTTCAGATAACGGAATTTGGAAGAGATTTTTTTTTATCCAAAAACAAGAATTAACCATTTCATTTAAGTAGGAAAGTTTATATTTCAATCAATCAAAATAAAAGTCTTAAGCTCTGGAGGAGAAGAATCAACTCAACCCAGCGAGAGTGAGTTGTTCATAGCAGTGGCTGCAATCCAATGAGCAATCTTGTTACAGGCTATAGAGTTGTGTAAAAAAATAATATTGTGTACCCTAACAAAACATCTAATATCTTCCATGAGAATATTAATTTTTCACAGAAAAACATCCTCGATATCACTCAATTTGATGATACTGAGGTAGTCGCTTATGACGGGAGATAAATAATAATCTTTTTTAGAGAGAAATATACCGATTTGTAAATGTGATGTATTGCTCCAAATCCGACCCCTATGTCAGTTTTTGGATCCGTTGGGAATGGCTACTGATCTTGCAACGTACTTGTATTGCTACTATGCTTGTTCACCAAATACAAGTTTCTGTTTTTTTTTTTTTTGATCAAAGCAAGCAAAGTAAGCATTTTATTAAGTTGGAAAATTGAGGTTATAATCCGACAAAAGTAAAACCGTAAGCTCCGGAAGGGGGAACCTAACCAATTCAGGAGGAGTTAATTACTTAAAAAAGAGGCAATAACCCAGTGAGCAGCCTTTGTGTAGGCTCTAAGCTTGTGTAGGCTCTAAACTTGTATAGAAAGCTAAGGTTGTATAACCTAACATAGGATCTAATTTCTTCAACAATAACACTGAATTCCACAGAAGAACATCTTCATTTGAACTGAGCTTGATTATATTAAGACAGTCATTTGTGATGGTGGCATTTGTGATCAGATGGGCTTCAGCAAGGAGGCAAGCTTGCCTCACTGCCTTGGCTTCAGAGCAAATGGTAGACCTAGCAAGGAAAGATTTGGCACTGCCCAATTTAAGCATACCCCTCTCCTTGCATACCACCACACCACATGCAGACCTGGCTCAAGCAGACTTGAAGGCACCGTCACAGAATATGCGACAATAACAAACAGTAACTGGTTGGTTCTCATGCCTCAACGATGGTGCATCCCTCTGCACCTTCAATGCTTCAACAGCTTCCGACCCGAGCTGATCTTTCCACAAAGCCTGTGCACGGATAACAGTGGCATAGGCATTAACATCTTCATTGTTGAAAACGAATTGGTTTCCAGCTTTCCAGATTACCCACCACACAGTAGCTATTTTCCCTAACAAACCAAGTCTGTCCTGTACCTCCTTCACCATCTGTATGGGCGTAATAGATCTTTGGGCCACTGAACAAATACAAGGTGTTTTTTGGACAGTACATATACAAGTTCAATAAGGACTAGTATAACTTGTAATCTAACTCAAAACAATCTGACTGGTCAGCTAAATTTAATGGTTTCCAAGAGTACTTTGTACTTCTGTCAATAGTTATGTGGGGTCAACTCGAAGGAGCAAGCTTAAATAATAACATAAACGAGTTATAAATTCAAATATCATGAGTTCAAATTTTGACAATTGTGAATATCCTAATTCTGGCGTAGATGGTCTATTTTTGACTAACCGAAAAAAAAAATTAATCAAAATGCACTATGTTAACCCAGACACTCTGACCATAAAATCAGGAAAAAAATAGTTATGTGGGGTTAATTGTGTACTTTCATCAAGATAAGAGAAAGTCACACTGGCATCAACCACAACAAACTTTCCCCATGTACTAGAAATAATGAATAGGGGGGAAAGAGTTAAAAAAAAGGGCAATTTTCATGGCAACACTGAAGCCAAAGTATTATATAATCAGTTCCATTCTCGAGAAAATAGCATTAACCAGCTACTGCCAGTTTATATCTCAACAATCTGATCATACAAATTTTAAAGTAGAGTTTCCAGTGAGGGATCACATAAATTCTCCCTATTGGAAACAGAAATAACTACAGAAACACACGATAGATTATCTTTCTGGTAAAACTTATTCGACTAAAAGGAAGGGGAAGAGCAGAAAATACATAATATTTAACCAGTGTTTTGCAGCCCAGCAGCAATACCCTTCATGGTCAAGATAAGGGTGTCCTCCAAGCCAGGGGCATACTCGCTTGTCGGGTTCAGCTTAACTAATTCAGCAGCAGGTTTGCTTGATTCCATATACTCTTTGGAGATGTGAGGCCGGAGTTGCACATGATAGTTGGGGTCACGAATCCGCTTTAGCGTGTAGGCCTGACACACATTCAAAGTGGTGATGTAGGAATCACGAAGACGAAGTCGCTGCTTCAAATGTGGGTCTCCTTCTAGAAGATCCTTGTGTCCAGCAATCTACCAAAATCGCGAGAAGAGAAGCTATTATTGTTGTCGATAACAATCACATAGAGGAAACAATGTGAAATTGGAAAGCCTCTCTCTCCCTCTCTCTCCCTCCCTCTCTCTCTCTGCGTATGTATGTGCACGCGTGTGTGTCTTCAAGTCTCAGCATATTAATGCAGCAAACTGTAAGTATAATTTCGGATGTTTATAGAATTAAAATCTTCATCAAAAAATTTACCTGGAGCAGAAGGCTCTTTGTTTCCTCAGAGTTGGTCCTCAAACGTTCTCCAAATGACCATAGATCCTCCGAAACAAGGAGTTTGTCATACAAAGAAGCAATACCAGGGTTTCCCTTGGCAAACACCATTTCAACTAAATCAATAGTGACTCTAAAGAAAGGCCATTTGCTGTACATTTCTTGCAGCATATGGAGATTCTTAATGTCCTTCTTAATGGCATATTTAAATGCTGCCCCAAAGCCCAGCCAAACTGGGAGATGAAACCTGGTTTGTGTCCAGGCAAAGATCCATGGAATTGCTCGGAGTGATTCAATGCCCCCACTTGGCTTTCGCTTTGACGGACGGCTCCCAATGTTCATCCTGCCATACTCCAGCTCTGGGGTGGCCTACAATCATGGAAAAAATAATGAACTTCACAACTAGAATAACCCGATATTTAAACTACGTTTTGCTTTATTTTTGCAATACACTTACAAGGCGGAAATACTCGACAAATCGGGGTTCCTTAAAAACTATTGAACGGTAATCCTCTGTTGCAATAACAGCAATTTCATCCAGAAGTGCACGCCATTCTGGTTTTGGCGAGACTGGGGGATGCATCCCATGCTCAAGTGTAGCAGCAGTGAAACGCTGAAGTGTTCTAAAGCACAAGTGCTCCTCTCCAAAAGATTGCTCAATAACTTCACCCTGAACTGTAACACGGAGTGACCCATGAATTGTTTCTGGAGGTTGAGACAATATAGCAAGATGGGTGGGGCCACCTCCTCTTCCAACTGTCCCACCTCGACCATGGAACATGGTTAGCTTTATGCCGTGATGCTTTGCAACTTTTATAAGTTCCTCTTGAGCCTTATATAACTGCCAGGCTGCTGAAAGCCGCCCGGCATCTTTACCAGAGTCCGAGTACCCGATCATGACTTCTTGTTTACCATTAATACGGTTCCTGTACCAATCAATTGAGAAAAGCCGTGCAACGGCAGCAGGAGCAGCCTCTAGATCATCGAGTTTCTCAAACAGAGGAACGACCCTTAGTGGCTGCTTCACACGGCATTCACGCTGTAGAAGCTCAACTGCAAGCACATCAGATGGTGCTGTCGCCATAGAAATGATGTAAGCTCCAAAGCAGTCTGGCGGGAGTTCTGCTATGACATGAAGTGTGTCCAAAACATCAGCGATTTCTTCAGTTTTTGGAACATCGGGTCCAAATAGTGGCCGCTTGCCACTGAGTTCAGATAAAAGCCATTCCTGCCTGCGTTCTTCGGACCATTCTCGATAGGAACCAATTTCTAGATGCTTCGTAATGGCATCTATGACATCAGTGTGCCTGTCTGACTCTTGCCTTATGTCAAGTCTCACAAGTGAGAGTCCAAAAGTGGACACTTGCCTCAGAAAATCAAGAAGACTTCCATCAGCAATGGACCGGTCCCCACAATCACATAGAGATCTGTAGCAGAGTTCAAGAGGCTCCAAGAACTACAAAAAGTTTACAACCCAATCAGCTCTGTATCCAGTTAGAGAGAGAGAAAGGAAAATTCAATTTGTCAATTCTTAACATATTCGACTAAGAGCTCAAGCCCAAGAGATGATAGTCCAATAAGTACTGATCCATTAAGACAAATTGACAAACACATTAAAAACAGAGTTTCACAGACACATACACAGGGAAAGAATCCTTAGAATTGAGAATGCCAATCAACGACAACTAGTTTAAGGTTTCACACTGAGTAGGTTGAAGAACAATGGCATAAGCACTGATGATAGACAGGTGTGATTGAGAATTTGATTACAAAACTCTCGAGTCAGAAAAAAAAAACACAAATACCTCCTCGATATTGGTGTAAGTTGCCTCTTCGGGAATGTCAGATAACCCATGGGCTAATAAATGACGAGATCGTTCACGTGTCTGATATAGCTTATCCCTCACATCACCAAGAATAACCCGATAAGGTTCACTTGGTGGAACTTGCTTCCAAAACTCTGCATTAGGAAAAATTCAACACGCAATCTTGTTAAGGATTACTAGATTCTTTGTCCATTCTTCAAATGGTTTTTCATCAATTCAGTAAAATAACCAGCTAACATGGCACCACACATACCAAACAAAATCTATATAATATCACCAGATCTAGTTGTGATAATAATATTTTAAGAAAATGCTTCAAAAAGAAGCACTTAAATATTGCCTTGTTTGTGAAACTCAATTTTGTTATGATAAAGTTGTTGGTCTTTGAACAAAGAAACATGAAAGAATTCCAAATTGTTACCTATGTAGTGTTTTGCATCTTTCCTTGAGGATCTATGGAGTTCATCCGCTCGAACTCGAAGCTCGTCATTGCAACGCCACATAGACAACTGTAGTAGAAAATGGAGTTGGAGGAGTGTTAGCACTTAAGAGAATATTAAAATTGCAGATGGTATCCAAGCATTAAGGGTAGTTATTTCATACCTCGAACATGAGGTCCTCTATCTGGGAATAGTATAAGTTAGCAGCCATCATTCTGGCCAATAAGCAGACATCCCTCGTGACCTCGGGAGTTACCCTTGGATTACCTGCATTTGATTCCAAACACATGTTGAGCAAGAGATGAGAGACAAAGGGAGTATGATTCTGCTATCAAGAACTGGCACAACTAATAAATCATCTCAACAGAATAAAACCTTGGAAACAACACTAACTTAAGAATACACAAGCTTTTATTCTTTTTATTTTTTTAGTAACTCAGTTGCATTAAAATCACACATGAAACTATTTTTGTTGTTTGTTGCTTGTTGCCTCATTTTCAAAGAAACTTGGCATACTTCTTCATGTATATATTTATAAACTATGAACTGCACGTAAGAAAAGAATCCTACCATCACGATCACCACCCATCCAAGAAGAGAATTGAATAAGGGGAGCATTGTAAGGAACACGCTCATTTATCCCTATGTTCTTAAGAGCTGTATCAACACGGCGTAAAAATTTAGGAACACCCTTCCAAATTGTTTCATGGAAGTAGCTCATTCCAGCTCGCATTTCATCTTGTGGGGTTGGTGGAGTCCTTCGGATCTCATCAGTACGGAAGGCAGCTTGAATCTGGCACAAAAATGTAAAGGGAAAGGCAAAAGAAAAAGATCAGCCATGTTGCACTCCAAGCAAGCTGTTGCCTTTTTAGATAACCTTCCAAACATGTCTTTGTCAAATACTCTCAAATATAGTTACAATGCTATGATCATGCAAAAATTAGGGGATTATGATCATCCAAAAGTGCATATAGCAGCCATAAAGCATTTCTGCATGGTCAAATCTTTTGTCCAGGACATCTTTCATACATAAATCTAGAAATTCTATCGTCCATAAAAAAGAAGATATAATTAAATCCTTCAGTGCATAAAACTGATGAGATCAGGGCAAAGGAAGTAGTACTGTTGCAAAGAGAAAAGGGTTCTATCCTATTTAACGTTAGGCCGTATACAAGTCTTGTAGCTTGGTTTAGTAATTTAATCAACAAATAGTTCTGAATCATAACATTCATCCATGTAATATATACAGGGAAATTGTTGAGTATTATCTAACTTCTGTTATCAGGAAGATGTGCATCTAAGGATGCAATATGTTAAGGGCGCGTATTATGTGTTTGCTCTTTTTCCATCCGGAAAAAACTGCAACTGTAACAGATATGCTCATTTATGCATAAACATATATATTCTATGACCATATACACCTACAAAATAGAGATAAGTGTGTTATATCCCATAATGGACACCAAAGCTGCACCAATAGGATCCTTTGACACTGGCGAACAAATATGGTCTATGGTTGTGAATTGAAAATATTGTCTGGAAAGCATGACAAAAATAATTTGTTCAAAGCATAACTATTGAGGTGATGCTCTGAGAAAAGGAAATAGTGTGATTTGTACACCCAGATTAACCAAGTTGGAACTCATTTTCAGACACATGACAGATTAACCACCAGACAATTCATGCTAATATTTTAGAAGTTGAGAGACAAATTCAAAGTTGTTGTTATAAATGACTCATGCCATAGAAATATCAATTAGTAATCTAGGCATTCAAGGAGACATGATAGAGAATATAAACATAAAGAAAAATAGACTAATATATAAAATAGAGTCACATTATAATAAGGAAAGCTTAGCCATTTTAAGGAAACTACAAAATCTAAAGAGAGAGACCTCCAAAGCAACATTGGATATTACACTGAATTTTAATTAGGAAACTAAAATAACTTCACCAGCACTTGAACACTCATAATCTTGATAAAAAAATGACTGCTACCTCTACAAACACCTTAAACATAGAACATATGTATATACATGTATCTATTTCTGCAGTCCTTATATATTAATAACCAGCCTTGTCAGAGAGTGACACATCTTTTATCAAATGGCAGGTGTACTTCCAAGAAAACATAAAGATACAATGCATAAGTTCCTCTGTTTTCTCCTAGCAATCTATGTCAGAGACTCACATGCACATCCTCTACTCATCACAAGCAATGGTTGGCCCCAGTAAAGAAGACTATGGTCCCATGTTTACACAAAGAAAAAAGGAATTTTTTTCTTGAAATTGAGAACTAGACATAATAGTGTGGATGAAGCACCGATAATTACCTCCCTTTGTAGAGCCTCATCAAGTTCCTGCTTATCATCAGGTGTAATGTCTTTGGCATATAACTGGGCCAAACAATTCCGTATCCTGAAGCAGAAAGAGAGGAATAAGAGCAAGAAAAGAAGATCACAAAGACACATAATAAACTTGAGCAGAAAAAAAGTCAATGATGTTGAAGAGTAGCTTGTACTAGCAGAAATAGAATGAACTTTCTAAACCGTTGGAACGCGATAACCATAGTGATTATGAAACAAACCTAGCATGCTTTTGAAGCAATGATCGGCGGATTGATTGGGTTGGATGGGCAGTGAAAACTAGGTCCACAGTTTGATTCTTCAGTGCATCAAAAACTTCTTCAGGAGACTTCTTCAGGTCCACCACAAGTCTCTTCAGAGTTTCTTCAATGTCTGATTCAGTTGTTGCAGAGTTCTCATCAACAAAATCGCCCTTTTTCAACTTCTTGATCCGTCGACGGTAAGCAATCTGAACCTCCTCAGCCAAGTTGGCCAAGTTAAGCATGTGAGAGAAAGCTTTAGCAATGACAATGGAGTCTCCTGGATCCAAACTTGTCAATACATTTCCAAGCTCCTCCAGCTTCTTAGGATCATGCTTCCCTTCATACTCAGCTGAAAGTTCATAACAATCTTGCACCTAAGAGACACCATAGAAAGCAATTTGGCTCACTAACAACACTAAAATAATTGTGATTACATAAACAAATCAATGGGTGTAAGCTAAATTTACACAAATCATCCCGTGAATGCAAATTAACAAGACAATACAGGCAATAATTTCACAAATGGACAAGCATATCGGAGATCTTAAACTAAATTGTTGTGATCAACAGGGATTCCACATGAAACAGTAAGGAATCAATCACAGTTCTCATAAAAATCCAACCTTTTTGCAAGAGGTAAATCAAAACCCACACGAAATCCAATCTTCTAGATAAAGGTGTACCGGTGCACGAGGCTCTCGCCATTAGGGGGTGTGGGGTCTGGGGTTTGGGGAGGGTTAGTACGGAGCCTTACAATGGAGCAACCTTCCCAGTTGCGCCGAGGCCTGCCCTCAATCAACTCTTTTAGATCATCCATCAAAATGGGTTTTAGTGAGCTTTGTTCTTCACTTTTAAACAAGATCGAGATATAAATATCCCTCTAAAACTAACCAATGCACTAATCTAAAACCACAAAGACCATAAAGAATTCAACTTTTATCAGATTGGGTTCTCAATACTACAATCAGGGTCATATTTTAGACATTACCAGAAAGATTGAAGTTCTATTCAACATATATGTAGTAAAAGCATACCGTTTCCTTGAGATCATTGCCATGCAAATCCTGAAGAATGTCAAGGAACCGATCTAACAACAGAGCATCATACTCCACAAGCTTATCATCTTCAGACAATTTCCCAGGTACCAAAAGCCTCAATTGTGCGTCGATCGATGCCAATTTCTCCAGATTCCTATTAGCCATCGATCTCTCTCAGCCTCTTCCTGGGATTAGCAATCGAACTATGAACTCCAAATTGGCAAAACCCTGCAAAAAATGAACCCAAGAATCACGGATTTGAATCAATCAATAACCATAAATGCTGATCACGACCCAGAAAAATCGGGCCCGTGACATCGAGGATTAGACAGTCAAAACCCACATGAATACACAGAGAGAGAGTGTGTGCGTTTAGATAAGATTGTGTGAATTTGCATACAAAAAAAAGCTTATATGTAACATAAATTGGCGATTTTTGAGACCCAGAAAGAGAAAACTGAGTGAAGTTTGAGATAAGGTAGTACCTGAATCTGGGTAAGTGAGGACTGAAAATAAGAAGAAGAAGAAGAAGAAGAGCAGCGGAGGAGGGTCAGAGAGGGAGAGATAGGTGATCAAAACGCTATGCACTGGCTTGATATATATAGAGAAAGAAAAAAGAAAAAACGAGTAGTAATAAACTTGATTCTCTCTCCTTCTCCGTCTCTGTCTCTGTCACAAATTGGACTTAACGTTTTTCAATCCCAGCATTCCAGGGCTCACTCCACGGCTGAACTTGTGTTAAAAAGAGTTTATGGGTCAAACCCTCAATCTTTCTCTAATTTCCAACTATAATTTCTCTCTCGTGAAGAGAATATGCCTTTGAAGATCCTTACTTTTCCCAACTTGTCATAATCAGTAAATTTTTTTTCTTTTGTTTTTTGGTCTGTGTCATTGTCACTATTTGCTTTGCTCCCGTCTGTTTTTTGTTTCTTTTTTATGAGAAGGCAGAGGATTTTGATATGGTCAACAGAAAGCAAAGGGTTCAAGACTTTCCTTCCAAAAATATTTAAGTGTGTCAAAACAATTTTGCACAAAATTATAATTCACAACTTAAGCGGTGTTTGATAAAATTAAAAATTAAAATTTAAAAGCTGAAAGCTTAAGTCTGAAACCTGAAAGTTGGGTGCTGAATTTGTGGACTGTTTGATATTTATTAAAATTTAAGTACTGAAATTAGTTAAACTGTTTGATAATTACACAAAACTGAAGTTTAAAAATAAATTAATTTTTAGTTTTACCCTTACACTCTCTAATTTAAAAATATTTATAAGATACTGTCATAACATAAATCATAATCACTATTATTATATTGTAATCTACATTTAACAAATATTTGATCAAAATAAATAAATAAATAACATCTAAATAACACAATAAGTGAACAATAATAAATTGAATAACAAAATAAGTGAACAATAATATCTGATAAAAAAAAATAACTAATAAATAATTAAATAATATTGAAAAAAATAAAAATACATTAATTTAGATTTCATTAACAATATGTGTGTGCATCGTGTGTGTGCAGTGCATATGTCTGTGCGTGTGCAATGTGTGCATTTGTGGGTGTAATTATAATTATGTATATATATTTTTATTACAAAAGACAAGGAAAAAAAATACAGATCGACAAGAAGAATATATAAATTAGAGGTTTTGAAGAAAAGACTAATTAGAGTTTTAATAGGATTGTAAAATATTTTCGGAATATAATTTTTATATTGTAAATATTATTAAATATAATTTTACTGAATGTTTCAGTTTTCATAGTTAAGTAAGAGATTTCCTACTTAATATTGTAGTCTAGTTTTAAAGAACACTTAATATAGTAAAAGAATTTAAATTTTAATTATCAAACGGGTTTAATTAATAAGTGTCGAATATATTCATATTAAGTGTTGAATTTGAGTTAATAAACACACCTAGTTTGGATGATAAAATTTTTGAATAATTTTTTTCGAGATTTCAAGTTTGATATCTTTGTGATTACTAGTATATGCTTATTCAAATTGCGAGATTTTCGTTATAAGTATTTTTTGTTTTTAAGGTATATATTTTTTGTTAGTTTATTTTTTATTGTATTAATTTTATCAATTTAATTCCTAAAGTATTTAATTCATGGTTTACGTGTCGGATACGTGATATCATCTAAAAAAATGACACATGATCACTTCTGTAAAAAATACTTGACAGATTATCTAATTAGAAACTAAAGTGGCAAAATGAATATTTTTATGGACTAAATTGATAAAATTAACATATTGAAAATTAAATTAATAAAAATGTATATTTTAGAGATAAAAAATACTATTAATTCTAAAGATAATCTATACTAAAGTCATTTATATTTTTCTGGTACGAGGATCAAAGTTTTATCCTTCTCATCTATTTTTGTTTTCCGCAAACAGGAGAGAATATTTCTTATAACAATAATATCATATCAGTGTTGATAACATAATATCACAAATCAATAATAAAAATACTAAATAAATAAAGTGAATCCTACTTAAATAATTATTGAATTACACGAAAGAAGAGTGAATGATTGGACACGTCGTGACGTCCACATTATAACCCTTATAATTAGGGGTGTTTACCCTATTTTATGGGTAAGAAATATGATATTCTGTCTTCTTATCTGATACTTTGTAGAAAAATTTTTTTTTGGCCTCCCTTATTCGATCAAGTGTGGTATTCTTACTCTGCTTTCGGTCAAATTAATCAGATAGGAAGTTGGGTAGGAAATCGGGTGAACATTTTTGTAGTTATTAATTTTTGGATTATTTTAACAATTCAATTAAAAAACATGCATCAATTTAACAATACAATAAATCAATAACACTAAAACTTAAAACAATTACAAAAAAAATTATAATAAAACACAAGAATATATATATATATATTAATGCAGGTAGAATAGGGTAAAAATACAAAAATTTATGGTTATTTTGTATTTCTATCTGATTTTTTCGATTATCCGTTTAATAGGGTCGAATAGGATAAAAATTTACAACTAATCAAAAATTTGATCACCCCTGCTTATAATAGAATAAACTTAGAAGAAGCCACGATCTATCATTGAAAAATATAATATGAGCAATGACCGAAATTGCATGAGAGTTATATATGGAGAAGTCTTGTGGAATTCCGTGCATCACTTCAATAGTTGAGCATGAATGAATTTACGAGTTCTCTACGCTGTTCAACTTACGAGTTCTTGTATCCTACCGATATTTATTATATTAATGAATATTTTTATCACCGTTATAATAGAGTTTTTTATTATATGTATGAGTATGTTTATCACTATTGTTGTATCAAAAAAAAATAGTAAAAATATTTATTACAATAGTAATAAAAAAAATCCAAAAAAATCATAAATTACCCATCAAAATGATACGATTTTTTTTTTGAATACCGTAGTCAAGTCATGAATTTAAATATGCAATTATTTACGACGACCATGAATGCCAGATCTCCTTGGACTATATATCATTGAAGTACACGCTCTAAGTTTAGATCTAAGCATGTGTAAGGTTGTTTAGATCTAAGCATGTGTAAGGTCATGAAGTCCTGAGTCTCAGTGCTATAGAACTTGATTTTTTGTTTGTTTATATATTTGGTCAACAAATAAATAAACAAACAAAGGTGTAAAAGTTTAGAAACATTGAAAACAATTGAAATTAAAACAATGTTATTTAGATTTAACCTGTTAATTAACTAACTTAATCATTCTCTACGGTTAGGAATTTTAGTTGATGAACAATAAGAGTATTGTTCCTTAAAATGATGTCATTTCATACAAAAATGACATTATCTATCTATATCTATACTACTAATAAAAATATACTATCAAGAAAAACTTTTAATTAACTACTTTAAACCTAAAATAATATATAAAAACAATACTAACCTTATTTAATTTAGACCTCATATTAATAAGACTTGATTAATACTAAACTTTTAATTTGATAACTTTACTCTCACAATATTAACATTATTAATATAGAATTCATATTAATAAAACTTCATTAATATTACACATATTGAAGTCTTTCATATTCCTTATTGTAAAAGATAAAAATTAATTATTAAAATAATTAAATTTACTTTTATTTATGTCTATCTATTTTCATTAATTGATGACAAGTTTATGAATTTTTAAATTAAACTGCATACATACACTAGAGTCTTATTTAGTATAAAATTTATTTTAATATAATTTGGATAATATTATCAAACCCTAACTTTTCATTTCATTCTCTTTTTATGTTTTAGTTTTAATAAATCTTCTTTAGTTATGTTTATCGGCAAACCATTTTATTTGTATCGATTAACAATGCAACAAATATGTTCAGTCTCACATTAAATTACTTATCACAATTTACCTTTTTAAATATGTTCAATTAATTGTTTATAATTAAATGACCGATTTATAATTAAATGACCAACATAACTTAAAATAGTTCGCTTTCATATTTTTTATGATTTAATAAGTGTTTACGATAATTTTTAGTTATATATACTCACATACTATAAAATATATTTGTATCTTTACTATGATGTTGCAAATAAAATTAATCTAAATAATTAACGTCATGTGAAATGTTTTAAAATTTAAAGGTAGAAGTTTATAAGAAGTAATTCATCAAAATTTAAGAGAAAATAAAACAATAAAAACTAATTTTTATTATGGAAATATGTAGTGTTATGTCTGTTACAAATTATGCAATAGGAATATTCAAAAAATTATATTTATAAGTAGGTATTTACTATTATATTTATTTAATTATTTTAAAAATAAAACTAATTAATCATTAAAATTGCTATTTTATTATATTTAATGATCGAATGCATATTATATGTGATTAAATATGTTAAATTCTTTAATTTTTTAGTTTAATACTTTTTCTAGTTATTTGGTTTATTTTACAGGTAAATTGGTTGATTTAAAGTAATAATGGATAAAACAAATGAATCAATCACTAGAGGAAGAATCACAATTGATAAGGATTGAAGAGTCAATATTGAAATAGAAAGACTTGAAGATATGACAATAACTTAATACTTATAAGAGTCAAAGTTGGAAGAAAACTCATTTATAGTTAGATTAAAAAAGTATCTTAGAGGATAAGGATTTAACACATTTTTAGTATTTTGGTTATAAATTTTGACTTTGATATCCGATTTACTTAATTTTTGGGGGTTGAAAAGAAGACTCTGAGGGCTACAAAAGTGTATTTCAAGAAATTTTCTTGATTCAATCTCTAAATATGTGAAATTCATACTCGAAGTTTGGACAGATTTTGTTCCCTCGTCCCAAAGATTTTATGCACGGGATTTAACCTTACAAAACTTCTTTTTTGGAAAAGAATTCCTTTCAAGTCAACCTTATATCTTCTACCTATACTTAGGATTTATTTTTAGTATAAATAGGGGTTCTCATTTAGAATTATTATTCTTTTTTTCATCCTTTTATTTTTATTTTAGTTCGTCATGTCTAGTTAAAAGATTCAACTAGGGATAGAGGAGAACATTTC